ACGATGCCGCATGGGCCGATCCCAACCGCTGCCAACCAGTTGTTAGAGGCCAGGTTTCAGTCGCAGGTCCGGAGGCCTCCTGGTTCTTGGCGACGTCCATTCCCGGAAGAGAAGAACCCAGGGGTTCAGTGGAGGTGGGACACTTGGTAACGTAAATAACGGTTTAATTACATGGTTGCGATACAGTCGTCCAAATCAGAGAAAACATCGCTCCGCCTCATATAGGGTCAGTTTCTCCCTCACTCGCCGCCAGGGCAGCAAAACCGCCGCCAAGTGCGATGCAGCAAAAGTCCGCGCGCAGCTAGGCCATGCCTCTCTCCTTTTCCTGAGCGCACCAACACACACGCGCACACACACGTCCCGTTGACGTCACGGACGCGCCGGGACTCGTTTCCGCAGCGTTGAAACTCGAAAGAAGGTCGCATGTCGCGTTATTAGGAACAAACACATTCCAAAGCTTGCTTTTTGCGATGCTCTATATACGCTATAGAGTGGTCACACTGGACATTATACTGTGGAAAGGTAAAAAACACAGGCGAGCTGGTGAATGGTATCTATATAGGGTCCATATATCCATATTGGTCCATATATATCCATATAGGGTCCATATATCCATATTGAATGGTATCCATATAGGTCCATATAGAGACTTCGTTGTACTGTCCGTTTTTTTATTTTCCTTCGTCTCAGGGTTATTATGGAGGGCATTATACTCTTAGAAAAAAGGGTATGGATAGTCCTCCCTACGGGGAGGCACGGTCTTGTAACCTATGTTTCATTAGGAAGGGAGAAACTTTCGTCCCTGAAGCAGGGGCGCAATTAGTTCCTCCGTCGCCTGCATCTCATTATGGCGGCCCTGAATCGAGCAAATCGAGCTCAGTGAGGCTTAACGAGGACGCTACGTATCTTGTATGGGACGAGAGGAGCAGCAAATAAAACCGTAACACGAGCTCTCTGTGAGCTGTGTTTATTTCCGAAGCCAGATTCCCCCCGCAGGTACAGAAATTTTCCGTTTCGAAAGCAATTACTGTCTTCTCGTCGTAAGCAGTGCGATGTTAGACGGAGACAACCAATACCCAGTTACTTCGCGCCCTTTACGCCTTACCTTTGCTGTTCCTCGAGTCACAATTCATTCGTCAACCGCACATCACGGAGGAATGGAAAACAAATCCGCGAAGCCAAAAGCCACACTCAAAAGAACAAACTCGGAGCTGCTGTTGATCACGTAGCGTGAAAGAAGGTTAAATCGCTTGCCACCCGATGGCAGGGTCAAGCAGAGTAATTGCAAGTAGCTAGGCTAGGTGGCGATAGGTACCGCACAATTCATGTTCTACAAAAAATATTTCTATTTCCTCAGGCCACCATTACGCCTCGGGATCTTCGGGAACCTCTGCGATCTCTGCTATACACGCATGTAGACACATTAAGCGTACTACAAGCATCAGGTGAACATACATTGAGCGCATACACACACAAGGGACATACAAACATCAATACAACGGCATACTAACCCGAACTCTACACCCAAGCCCTGCGTTTCCGTCTTTTATAATGGTCGTTTTGAACGTACGGAATTTCTCGGTGACTCCCTAAGCAATAAAAATATTCCCAGCATGTTCATTTTTTTCCAGCAATGTCATACCTCTGAGAGCATTTTGAATGGCTCAGGGGAAGAATTTCTTATTAAAAACTAAACGCTCGATCATGCCGTGATTATTTGAAAACCAATGAATAAAGCCGCTCCAATGCGGTTCGAAGCCATTAGTTTGTTTCCCCGTACTGCACGTCGTAGCCTGTATTTCTATTGTAGCGTTTGTTTTTCCATTTGGCTGCAATTGCCGTCTTGAATTCATCTCTGTAGAGCGGATATTCACTCAGCTGGAAGGGATGCTTCACGGGCAAAGAAATCCCTTTTCGATCAACCTGAACGCAGTCAAAGCCGCGACTTACGGCAGGTGTCAAGTGTACGGAGCTACGCCGCGGCGAGCTCGAAAACTAGCGCTCATCCCAGCGCGCCACTTAAAAGGCAGTTTCTCGAGGAACAGTAGTATATTTAAACAGCACAATAAAGGGTAGCTTCTTTTTTCGATTTTATCTACTATTCTTTTTTAATGCTGAAATTCCACACTGTAAATATACGTACTTTCCGTCATAATTTTGTACTGTTCAGTCCTTTGCCCAGAGCGCAATCGCTCTCGGGGACTGACAGTCACATTGGCCACTGTACGATAGGAGCCTACTGTTCAGACCAGCGTTCCAACATGACTATCCGCAAGTCGATCGATTGCACGTGCCTAATTCCTTGACTGTCTTAAACCTTTTAATGTAAAGCGGAATGTCACCCTGCGACACCCCACCCCCTCCTATCACGGCCCGACCAGCGGCATCAATGCCCGACAGTTTACGATATCTTATCTTGTTGTTACACCACTGATACGCGAACACACAGTCACATCGGCGATAATTCCAGTTTTATGTTCACAACCCACAACACTGCCATCACGATGTTACTGCTATGTTGCTGACACGCAGAAATACAGAACCACGTTGAACGGCGTTTGGCACTCGGCATCGGAAAACAGAATTGAACTTAGCACGGAAGGCACCCAGGCAGCAGGCAGCAAAACCTGCCTTTCTTGGACGCAGTTCCTGCGATATCCATAGCGTCAAAAACGTCGACGCAGTTCCGCGTGGTTCCGCTACTGTAGTTCGGGGTGGGTCCCGCAATCTGGAGATGGGCATCTTACCCAGTGTACGTAGCGCTGCTGGCACTGCTCCGGAACTTCGCTGTTTCTAGCGACTTCGTTTGCTCGTTTGATAAAATTAGTGATAAAAACGTCAATGAAACCGAAATGTATTGCACGTATGAACTAGAAGACGGAATTACAGGCGGCCTTCGCTGCCGCTGAAGCTCAAGCAACTCAAGAACATTTATAAAACAACGTGCGCAACGTGCTCGAAAAACGAAACCAAAAGAAGATGAGTCGGGAGGGCGAAAGCTTTCTGCCTTCTGCCTGGAGAAGGAAAAAAACGTTTTGTTCCTCCCTGTTTCTCGTGTCCGCTTGGGGGCGCGTCAGTAGAAGGGAGGAAGACGCGCCGTGGCTACCTTTTTCCTCCATTTTTTCTTAAAGTGTACGCTTGAAAACGAGAAGGAGAAATAGGTGCCTGCACATAGACAGCTCAAATTTTCAACAGACAAGCATTGAGAGGGTAGAGTTTAGGTGGTGAAGTTTCAGGGTATAGCTTCCTTTCTGTAAAAACGTTAGACGAAAATCTTGCCAGGCTCAATGGAGGGCGGGTTAGCCGGCGACTGAGTTAGCGATGATGCCAACGCTCGGCGCCATCTTCCGATAGGAGCCACGACTAGAAGACTGAATGTGTTATCTGTGGCGCCTGCATATCCGCGGATATCCGCAGTATACTGGCGGATGCGGACAAAAAGGAATAAGGTTTGGCGGACTCCGGATCGGATGCGGATATCCGCGGGTCCGGATCTACATTTTTGCCGAAGCGACCCATAGACCTGTGCGACCACGCAGTGTAGAATGAACAACTGAGTGATACCATGAAATGCATCATCGAATGTGCGGAGTGAGCAAACTACTCCTTTAGGTAAAAGGTGTCAATTGGGAAGAAAATTGTTCTTTGCGTCAAGAAAGATATGATTCACACCAAGTGTAACTTCTGAACGCTCTCGCTAAAAATGCTGTCCCAAGACGTTGACGATATTGTGTTTTTTCACACGGCAACATCGACTACTGAAACGTGTGTGTGTGAGTTCTATTTAGAGTGCAGCTCTTAGGCGCCCGTTTCCGGCTTGAGTGACGTCGCCGTTGGCGTCGCCGTCGCCGTCGGCGTAACCAGGGTCACGTGACCCCCAGGGTCACCTCAAGGTCACGTGACCCCCAGGTCATGTGACCCCCAAGGTCACGTGACCCCCAGGTCATGTGACCCCCAAACTCACGTGACCCTCCAAGGTTACGTGACCCCCGAGGTCACGTGACTCCCCCCAGGTCACGTGACCCCCCTCCCCGAGGTTACGTGACTCCCTTGAAGTCACGTGGACCCTGAGGACACGTGACTCCCCCCAAGGTCACGTGACTCGCCGATGACGTCATCGTCACTGATGACGTCACCGGCATCCGCATCGTCATCGTCATCATCACTGATGACATCATCAGTGACGTGACTGATGACGTCACCGACATCCGCATCGTCATCATCACTGATGACGTCACCGACATCCGCATCGTCATCGTCATCATCACTGGTGACGTCATCAGTGACGTCACTAATGACGTTATCGGTATCCGCATCGTCATCGCCACTGCTGACGTCATCAGTGACGTCACTGATGACATCATCGGCATTGTCATCGTCACATGGTCACGTGACCCCCCCCTCCGGTCAGTTGACCCCCCCCCCCCCAGTACCCTCCCCTCCTCCTCCTCAAGAGCTGCGCTCTAATTCGGCGTTACAGGAGGTTGTAAACGGCTTTCACTTTTTTCTCGACAGTTGGTACTGAGTGGTTTTCAAGAATATACCGATCTCTATATTTTCCTTGATATACAAAGGAGGGATATAGGCAAAAAGTTGCATGGATTTCAGCTAGACGAGGCCTTACCACGTGTGGCAAGAAAGCAGCAGAAACATAAAAAAAAACAAGCAATAAACAAAACACTCCACCTTATTACATCGATTAGCTACAACAAGGTCGTTATCACTCTGTTTCTAATAACATATCACGTAGCATACCTCTTGATTTTTTAGTAATGTCAATATATTCATCTTTGAGCTCATATAAAAGCGACGGTTGTGTATATTTTAAAGAGGTTAATCCGTAGTTAGTACGGATTAACTTGAACTTTGAACTTTTTATGCGCAGTCACCGAATTCTCGACTAGTTTTACGGCATAAGATGGCACTGGAACCGCCACATAGTTATGTGACCTTCGCCGTCGTTGATGACCTTAACTCTACCCGTCGCATTTCCTTCACAGGTCGCAAGTAACAATACATTTCTGAATCCACAAGATGTCCTCATTAATGTCACGGCTGAACACGATGCGGCGTCAGTGTACAACATAACGATTCATAAGATGAATCCATCGTCAAATGTATCAGTTCGTGTTCAGAGCTGTGGCATGGACAAATGCACGCCTGGAATTGTGACGCCCATCTTCACACAACCAGACTGTAAGTTGAATAAACTTTTATTTATCAGTGTGACCCGCGAAACTTACGAAAATTATAAATAATTGTCATGCATGTCTTAATGCTACTATGATTATATTTAAAAAAAATTTGTATCTTGTTCTTAATTTTACATTAAGAACAAGATTGTTTTTAATGTAAAATTTTACATTAAGAACAATCTTAATGTAAAATTTGGAAACGCAGACAGCTATTATCATACGCTAATAAGTTTGAAGGGAGGAAAACAAATCCTACTGCACATAAAACTTTGACACGAAAAATATACCCACTTCAATCCTAATTTCGATGAAAATATAGTTCCTTGAAATAAATCAAATATTTTAGAGCGCAGCTCTTAGGGGCCCGTTCCCGGCTTGAGCGGCGTCGCCGTCGCCGTCGCCGTCGCCGTCGCCGTCGCCGTCACCGTCGCCGTCGGCGTAACCAAGGTCATCCCAAGGTCACGTGACCCCCAAGGTCACGTGACCCCCAAGGTCACGTGACCCCTCCAGGTCACGTGACCCCTCCCAAGGTCATCTCAAGGTCACGTGACCCCACGTGACTCCCCAGGTCACGTGACCCCTCGAGGTCACGTGACCCCTCCCAAGGTCATCTCAAGGTCACGTGACCCCAAGACCCCACGTGACCCTTTGAAGGTCACGTGACCCCCAAGTCACGTGACCCCTCTGAGGTCACGTGACCCCCGAGGTCACGTGGTCTCCTCCCCAAGGTCACGTGACCCTCAAGGTCACGTGACCCCTCCCAAGGTCATCTCAAGGTCACGTGACCCCAAGGTGACCCCCACGTGACCCCCAGGTCACGTGACCCCCAGGTCACGTGACCCCTCTGAGGTCACGTGACCCCTCTGAGGTCACGTGACCCCCCGAGGTCACGTGACCCCCCCTCCCCGAAGTCACGTGACACCCCCCCCCCCGAGGTCACGTGACCGCCCCCCCGGAGCATATTAAAGAATGAGGGGAGGAGGAGGGGTCTACCCTCCCCTCAGTACCCTTCACTCCTCCTCCTCAAGAGCTGCGCTCCAATTCGGCGTTACAGGGATTTGTAAACGGCTTCCACTTTTTCAGTAGATTTTTATAGCGGATTTAAAAGAATAAATCTATTATCGTTGAGAAGCAGCGTGCTGGTAAAGTTAAGGCCGGTTCACACATACAGTGGAGCGCTAAGTTAGCGCCTCATCAGCGCTGGAAGCAGCGCTCATGTGGCATCGACTTGCGCACGACGTAGCACTCGGTTAGCGCTTCAGCAGCGGTTCAGCAGGCGCTCGGTTAGTGCTTCAGCAGCGCTCGGTTAGCGCTCCAGTAGCACAGCGTAAGCGCCCTCACGCTCCTTGTGCCGTGCTGGCTGCCGCTAACAGCGCGTGCACGGCGATTCCGTTGTTGTTTTTCCTTTGGCATTGAAAGAAGAGAAAGTAAAAGAGCCGCTTTCCAAGGAAATGGTCGGGCAGACGATCAAGGGTAATAGACTTTGAGCGACTAATTCATTAGATACGACCTCATCGCTTTCATTTCGACATGCGTGACCCTGGTTTCAAGGACACACAGTTAAAAAATAATCCCCTTCAAAAGAGCTCTGAGTTTCGATCCCTCAGCTTGGGAACAAAATGTAAGCCATGTACCGGTCGGTATCTCGGTGGCGAAAGATTTCGAGCACCGAGAAGGCTCTCCTAAGCGTTAAGCCGTCCATACACACACATGTACTAATTGCGTATGTAAGAGTATTTGTCGCACTTCTATTTCAGCGTCCCACATGTCCGTCGTAGTGCTGCTGATGCACACTCAACCACAGGAACCGCAACCGCATTGCACGCGATAATAGCAGCAGTAACCGCGGTACAAGAAGCGCTAACAAGGCGCTACTGGAGCGCTAACAAGGCGCTACTGAAGCGCTAACAAGGCGCTACTAAGCCGCTAACAAGGTGCTGCTGAAGCGCTAATCGCGCGCAATATTAGAACGAAGTCACGCGCTAGGAAGCACCACATAAGCGCTCTTTCGAGCGCTCACGTGGTTCTGACTTGGCGCTCCGCTGAATGCGTAACAGGCCTTTACGATGTTAAGAGGAGAATCACGCAAATGACGTTATTTATGTGATTCTCCTCTAACAGCGCCACTAAATATATATAACATTTTTTTTATATTCCTACAAGGACGGGCTCATAAATCACTATAGTTAACTGCATTATTTTCAATTGAATGTTGTTTTTTTTTTGTTTTCTTACGAATCACGCCTTCCCTTTATTCAATCGGCTTTTGAAAAATATATTTGTCTTTTCAAATGCTTCAAACAAACATATTAGTTAGTTAGTTTTTTTTTTTTTTCATCAATTTAAATATGGCAGGCTTTAACATGTACCAGTAGTTCGCCTGCACTGCATGCAAGGTGGTCATAATACTGAGGAGGTGTTGTCCGTGTGCTCCGTGTATGAAACAAAGAGTAACGGAGGCAGCCCAGGCCACAAAGTCTTCTCCAGTTGTCTTCATACTTTTGTATTTTTCTTCGACTTAAAAGTCTATTAACCTTTTGACGGGTGTGGCCGCACTTCACGGCGGTGATTACACATTTAAAAGTCACTGCTTACTACGCACATACCATACACATACCAGCCGCTCTGTCGGTGGTGCGAATGGGAGCACTGACTCTTCCAACTTTGACTTCAAACACTTTTCGGATTTCCATTCGAAGGATGAGAGCTCAACATTCGCTAACATTTTTTTGTAAAGTACCTCCGGCTAAGAATATGAAGCCGCTGGAATGTCATGAAAGTGGACGCGCAAAAATAAAACTGGATGGAAGAGAGATGAAAATATGTCGCCTTCAATAATTTTATTATTCGATGCTTCTAAACCTAAGCAGCTTGGAAGCACCGTGCGTGCGTGCTGTGACTATATAATAATAAAAAAAACTGTGCACTGATCCTTTTTATACTATTTCTTTGACAACTAAACCATACAACAAAAACACAAATTTTAAAGAGAGAAAAAAAAAAAAAAACTCGACCGTGAATGGGTTAATTTTTCCGCACCAAACTCTAAGGTGTTGCATTACATTTAATATCACCCTGTTATTTTGAATAATCAGTTAATGGGCGCCGACATGTAAATATGGTGCCAATAACCGCGTTGCCATGCGATTGCCGTGATACACGGCTGTTTGCCCATATTTACATGGCGGCGTCCACTGAATCCGTGCCGAACAAGTGAAATTCGGAGCCCAATACTTGCCTGGCCAGTAGGAAGTCGGCTTGTGGCGGACGCTCTAGACATCGCGCAGGGACGCCGCGTCTAGAGCGAGCCGTCATGCGCCGTCCGCACGAACGCTGAGAAAGGCGCCGGGTTGAGAAAGCCGTACACGTCCTGCTTCCAGCACGCGTTTGTTGCCTTCCGTCTTGATGGGAATGCGTGTGCGTATTGTGGGATTTCCCTTGCAGCTACCCGTCTCGGGGAATGACACAGCACACCGGTTTAACAACACGCAAACATTTAATAGGGAGTTTTCGTACATCGTTTTCGCCGTCCCGCAACTCGCTCCGCAGCCCGCTACGGTACCCGGAACTCTACAGTGGAGGCCATGGGCGTGCAGGCGCAGTAGCGGCTTCTTCGTTGCGGAGGGCTTAGCGGAGGGGGAAACGCGGTCTACAAAAACTCCCTAATAACCGCTATCGCCTGCGGTGCGATCCCCACCGCCCCCGCGCATCCGCTGCGACGGCCCTTTCTCAGCGGCGGAGCGACGCTCGCGTGGCCAATTGCCCTTGGCCCCCTCGTGGTCAAGATGACCGCTCATGATTGTCGGAGGGGCAGCCTGGGTCAAACGCTTGGAATCCCCAGGTTGCCCACAGTATCTACACTGGTTATGTTGCGTCGATCGCATCGAAAGCCAGCCGTGACAGCGGCTGGCTTTCGATGCGTAGCCTAAAACGCGAGACGCATGCCCGACAAAGCTATCCGATACGACGTACGTGTTCTAATCCTCAGTCACACACACATGGCGGATATTTCTAAGCAGTAATCTGGTGTTGCACAAAGCACCCACATTTTAAACTTTCCCCAAATCTGGTGACAATGTCAACAACTCTATTGTTTAAAAAAACACCGATCATGTATAATTTCTACTTTATTAGTGAATCGCTCAATTTTAGTAGGTCCCCTTAACTCAAAACACCGCCGTGCCTTTGACGTAAAACTGAATGACTCTATATGGACCGGCTCGTAATTTTCAACGTTTGCAAAAAAAAAAAAAAAAAAAAAAACATATTTGAAATTTTGGAAGGTACCGTATTGTAAGAATGATGAGGCGGATAACAGAAACGGGCAGAAAACATAAGCTGTTGAAAAATCAAATGTATATTGTAGAGGCAGGGCCAGCACGAGAAACTTAACGCCCGATGGTTTTGCTAGCCAGTGCTACGCCGTTTTCATCTTAGTAACATTTTTAAATAAAAAAATTAAAATATCATGTTTTCGTTCTGGCGTTTCAGATCCCCCGTTCTTCGAAGTGCTAACCGTTACAATGACTGCATTTGAAGTGAGGGTTACGCCTAGCCGCAACACTCACTATCAAGTGCGCTACTGCTACAAAGATAATGTCTGTAAAACCATTTTCACGTCCGGGTCGGTAAGTATCGTTGACCTAATGCCTGGCACAAGGTATACAGTCGACGTACGGGAAGGCCTGAGAGACGCCTTTGAGCATCTCTTTCTGGGACCAGCCGCACGAACGCATGTGTCAACTAGAAAAGACGGCAAGTGTTCACCAGTCAACTCTTCTTTTGTTTAACTTTGTCCATGCAAAGGAACGTATCTGATCAGATTACTTTCTAGAAAATAACTCGGTGTTAAACATATTCTTAAAGACCAAAGAAGGGTGGTTGGAGCGCTAGTTTCACGTAAAGCTTCTCAATATGGCGTACTCCTGGTGCCGATGACTTGTAGGTTTACGAACTAAATAAAGAGAAAAGCGGAAGGAGATTGCGTAGTTAAAGCGTAGTTGAGGTTGTTATCGCACAAAGAGTTACGCGGTCGTTTAGAGGAAAACATGAATTGGGCTAGCAAAAGAGAATAGACCTTTCGCAAAATTTCCCAGGCATTACAGAGAATGCTAGTAGAATGTAGGTACACGTGCTGCACGGGCTCATATTCCCTGTGTTGACTGAAACTGAGAGAGAGGAGGAGACTAGAGCGAACGAGGACGTCAGAACGCCGAGCTCTGGTTGGTATGATTAGTGGGTAGACACAGAGCCTTGTCTTCGCATCATTCATCAAACGTGTTCGAATGCGAAAGCCAAACGCCGGATGCCGGCATTCCGCGTTCTAGCACGCTCGAACAGTTCAGTGGAGACAAAGGCGGCCTTTGTCTCCACTGCACTCGTTGTAGTTTATGTACGCGAAAGAACGATCTAGCGCGGCAAGCCTTTTTAGAATCAATTTTCATAACTGTAAATAAATTAGTTTCCTTAAATTAAAGTTGACATCTTCCGCTTAAAAGCAACAATACTTTGGTGCCGAAACCTAATGGGATTGGTGGCCGAGTGGGCTAACGCATCTCAGCTCGGAGAGTGGAGCGGAAGCTTGCGCTGCAGAACCTCCTGGGTTCGATCCCCTACCCTGTCCGTTTTGATCTGGGTGAGTTTCGTACCGGCACGCGTTCGTGTAATCACTACTGCGTGGTGCACGTTAAGGACCCCAGGTTGGGGGTTGTGCTGCACCGGCTCAATTTCTTATTTACAGCTAAGAGACAAGTCACCCGTACTTATTTAGTTGAGGCGTACGAGCATCGAAGCTCTCTAAATATACAAGCAACATAATGTTGTGCCGAAACCTGGGATAACAACTGAATCGAGTAGAGGCGGCGAGAACGACTTCCAACATTCATTGCGAAATGGATCAAGTAACACCAGCTGAAATCGATCAACTGAGGCGAAGGCGAACTGCGGGACGCCAGCGTCCGCCGTTTGGTTTTCGCAGTGTAACGCGTTCGACCTGTGCAGTGGAGACAAAAGCAGCTAGCTTTAGGTCTACCCCCTAATCGATCCAACCGGAGCTCTGCGTTCTGCACGTCGCCGCACGTTCCCGTCTTCTCCTCTCCCCCACTATTTCGGCGCATATACAGCAAAATGGCATGGTGAATGCAGGTAGAACTGCTGACTGGTTGCTGCTAGATAAGGTCTGCAAGACCGTTTATATACAGATATTTACATTAAGAATGTCCCTCATCGTCCACGCATGGCCAGGCCTCCATCGTCCATCTCGTGCATTCCTTTTTTCGGGATCCCGCTCCTTCTTCGTGTTTGTTGGTATGCCCGCGTTCACCTAATAAGTTTGGACACACACCCCCGCGAAAACAATAAAATTAATGTGTCCTCGTTGTCAATTTGAATGTTGAATGAAAATAATGTTTTCAATATTTTCCTGGGTCTGATTGACGTTTGTGTAACCAGAGGGACGCGTCGGTGGCCTGGAGATGATCTCTTCGTCATTTGTGTTGTGTTTTTGCACGTCATGTGTACCATTCTTGTGGAACCCTGATGCGATCTCTTCTTCGGCGTGATTTGACCAGCAAGTTCTCCGTCCGCTAATCCAGAGGGGCTTCAACTGAACTAAATAGCCTCGTGTAGCCGATCCCCGGGCTGGAGACAAGGCGCAAAGTGTGTGATAAGCCCTTTTTCTGATTTCCTTTAGATCTCTCGTCAGTCGCTGATGCATTCCGATTATTCGTTTCCTACGTTTTTGGTTTGGCCCATCTTGTCTATAGGAATGTTTCTTCTGCGTAATAGTTTGGCTGATTTGATGTTTTCTTATGTGGTTAGTAACCTCGATACATTTCCGTTTGTTCCTCTCTTTTCATCTTTTATTGGCTCGTTTCTCTTGTTATGTCAGCTCGCCGCGTTCCATTTTTATATGAGCGTCAGCAAAACAACCTGCTTTACATTCTCCCGCTGAACTGGTTATAACCTGCTTGTTGGTAGTCGTTGTTGGGGTTTTGCGCACAACAGTCGTCCAGTAGCGTGTTGTTCACATCCGTCGATTCAGCCGGTACGTTCTTCTGTTGTTCCGGTTGGTTTTCTGTGACGTGTCGGTCGTCAGAGTAGTCTCTAGACACCTCGGTCACAGTTTCAAGGTTGTGACCGTTGTAACGCGAAGTTACGTGCACCTGGCTAGGTCTCACAAGGTGTGTCCGATGGAGGTCGCATCTTATGTTTTGCGCTCCGACAAGTGCTTATTTTCCTCGAATTTTTCGAATTTTGTCATCCTCTGATTGACTTACTGCGTCTTGAACTTCGGCAGCGATAAGTACCCCACGATACGGTCGTTAAGTTCTATGACGCAAGTGAGTTCTTCTTCGAGTTCTTCAGTAGGAATGAAGCGTTGGATGATATCATCCAAAGACTTCAGTTGATATTTATAGTTTTTTATCCTCTCGGTAATTTCGCTAACCTCTCGGGTCGTTCTTCTTGCTGGTAGATCAATCTCAAGATGTTGAAAGAGAGCCGTTACCTCCGTTTGCCATTGAGTTTTTTGTTAGATGAAACATTTAATGCCGGCGTCGGTGAAGCTGCGAATTCTTTGGCCGTCTGTTGCGTTGGTTGAAATCTTGTTCATCTTGCCGGTCGATTGTTGGTACGTTGACAGTTGTCCCCTTTCGTTGATGTGTCCAGTCAGGTTCTCACCATTCACCATATATATATATATATATATATATATTTATATATATATATATATATATATATATATATACGTATATATTATACGTATAGACGTATAAACGTTTATACGTTATACAGGGTGTTTCAGAGAACGCAGGCCAAATCGCTAATGCGAAAACTAGTCATCGCAATGAAAAAAGGCTCATGGCATTTTGGTCCTGGTCTAGGGGCCCATTTATAAAAGTTATTAAAGTGCGAGATAATTAAATTTTTAATTATTTTTGCCTAATTAGCTTTTTTGATAATGTGTTTAAGGGCATGGTTTTAATTAGAAAATTGCTCAGCATCATAGAAAAACACTAATCAACAAATCGCAGAACGATAGAAGGCACGCGAAGCATTTTGCGGCACAAATTCGACGGGTTTTCAAGTTTTGGTTCGCTATCAGAGCGCATCTCGGCGCCGGCGGCACCGCGCCCCGTGGAGAGATGTGCAACGAACCTCTGCTGCGCTGTCATCGGGCGACGCAGCAGAGGCTGGTTGCACTATTACTCCACGGGGCGCGGTGCTGCCGGGGCCGAGATGCGCTCTGATAGCAAACCGAAACTTGAAAACCCGTCGAATTTGTGCGGTTTTTCATAAGGCCGTAAAATGCTTCGCTTGCCTTCTATCGTTCTGCGATTTGTTGATTTAGTGTTTTTCTATGATGCCGAGCAATTTTACAATTGAAACCATGCCCTTAAACACATTATTAAAAAAGTTAATTACGCAAAAATAATTAACAACTTAATTATTCTGCACTTTAATAATTTTTCTAAATGGGCCCCTGGACCAGGACCGAAACGCCACAAGCCTTTTTTTCTTGCGATGAGTAGTTTTTGCAGGAGCGATTTAGCCTGCGTTCTCTGAAACACCCTGTATATTCACGAGGTGTGGTTAATATACTGTGGTTTACTCTTTAATAAAGTTTGTGTTGCAAACCTCGTTTTATTGTTAAATGTGACTCTGAATAATAGTAAGCTTTATTTCTTTGTTTTTTATAGATTCGTGCGTTTACAACATCACTGCTCCTTATGGCCGAATTTCTAGTCCCAACTATCCCAACATATACCCGAATAGTGCTTCATGTTCGTGGCTCATCAAAACCAATACGGATTTTGTAATAAGCCTGGTAAGCTTGGATCTTACTCTGTAATCCTTATTTCATTTATGTTCGTTACTTTGGTCAAGTTCCGCATATACTTACTTATAGTTCTTTGTCTTTGAGAAATGCCGATCAGCCCTAAAATATAATCCACGTGCGGGTTTGAACAAAATTATCGAAAATCGGAAAAAATGCTGGAGCTGTCCGGGATAAAAATCAGAGCTTCACGGAAGAAAATATGCACCGGCAGCTATTTTTGATCAGTAATACAGCCTTGATAAGAGCCGATTCTTTTGTTCAAGATTAAAAATAAACACAGAAAGCACCGAGGTTTTGGGGAAAAATAAACTCCCCCTAGAATACGCACCCGGATAAAAATAAAAGTAAAACCTGAAAACACAGAACCCCTTTTTTAGTCTCTTTTTGCGGGACTATACCGATTTTTAAATATGACAAGGGGAATAAAAATAAAACACCAAGCAGTATTATTTGCCAGTGTAAAATCTTCGGACTTCAAATTATTTCGGTATCTGGTATTTAGGTATCTGCAAGTCATCAATTCTGCATCGAACTCGGCCCATCTGGAACATAGACCTTTAAAATAATTCACCAGTAAATAGAACATATTAATTTTTTTAGTATTTTTTAGTTAATTTTTTTAGTAAATAGAATATAGACCATTAAAATAATTCAGCAATAAATAATTATGGCCTACAACCAGCGAGTTATGCGATATGTTTTGTTTGCTACTCGCACTTTCAGAATGTCAGAACATTACTAGAAGACGAAGAGAGGTAAGGCGAGCTCAACTACGACGTGTCTTTGTCGTATTGTGATAGTCTGCAATTGTTGAGGCGCGAGGGACACCCAAAACAACTCCAGGAACTCTCTCATTGTTATCCATAAACCGGCTGAATTATTTCAAATTTATCTACTTCCTATTCTTCGAGTTTGATGCAGAATAGATGTGTTCGTTCTCGCCCTTCTCTGTAGTCCATGCTGAAATAGCTATTGTACTCGTGCACGTCGCCACAAAAACTCGTGTAGCGCAGCTCCAAAAGCTCACTGAAGGACGCGCTTTGGCATAATGGCAAGTAAAGGTTCCTTCCTTTGACTTATACACGCGCACCACCGTATACTGCTCTTTCATTTCACGCTAGAAACTGACTCTCGAAACGTTTGGTTCACACCTCGTTCAAGGATATTGCGGCATTTTCTGTCTCACACTAGTTTGAACTGAAGAAAGGTGTACCTTCCCAAGCGGGATGATTTAATGGGTGTTCCCTTTGCACGAGTAGGCGCACTTGCGAATGCACTGAGCTCGAGTCGGAAATGTACAATCTAAATACTCAATCATTAAAAAAAAAAAGACATGTAGTTGGGCTAGTGGGTGGTGGATACCTGTTTGGTGCGAACAGCGCTAAAAAAACGTAGGACCAGGACCAGGCTAAAAAAACGTAGGACCAGGACTTGTGCTTGATAGGGATGACTACATGAAGAAGATGTATGAAGTTATAAACGACACTCACTATTTCGTGAGGCTATCAAGAGATCCCGCTGCTAAGTCCGAAATAGAGTTAGTTGACCACCTTCGAGAACTGATAAAGAAAGGACGCATCAGTGACGACCTATACCGTCGTCTCTTCTCCTCTGACGCCGCGACACCCAAGATGTATGGACTCCCCAAAATTCACAAACCGGGTTGCCCCCTACGCCCGATTGTATCTTTTATTGGTTCATCGGCTTACAGCCTTTCCAAATATCTGGTTGAGATTCTGAGCCCTCTTACGGGAAACAATGAGTTTAGCGTCCGGAATTTTCATGAGTTTGTTGAACTTATACGCGCTTAGACCCTGCTACCGCACGAGGCTATGGTATCCTTTGATGTGATTTCATTATTTACGAATGTCCCCAGCTCCCTGGCGGTTGATGTCGCCCGTGACCGGTTGTTGGCAGACCAGTCGTTGTCCACTCGAACAACCCTCCTTGTTGATGACGTTATACTTCTTTTGCGTTTTTGTCTCAACCAGTGCAATTTTAGTTTTAATGGGGACATATATCATCAGGTCAGCGGATGCGCTATGGGGAGTCCAGTTTCAGTAACCGTCTCGAATCTCGTCGTGGAATATTTTGAGGAAAAGGTAATGTCTGGCATTGATTTCCCCGTGAAGTTGTACCGTCGGTATATCGATGACACGTTTGTAATAGTTAACAAAAAGAACGTAACCGATTTTCACCGCAATTTGAATAGTGTCCACCCCTCAATTCAGTTCACCTCCGAAAATGAAACCGACAGTACCTTGCCGTTTTTAGATGTACGTGTCCATAGAACTAGTGAACCTTTCTTTAAGATGGAGACATCCGTATATCGTAAACCATGTGACACACAAAACTTTTTTGACTACCACTCTCATTACCCTACTCAACACAAAAGCTCGGTTGTAAGATCGTTACTTCATCGTTCAGAAACAGTCCCATCTAACTCAACACTTAGCAATCAAGAACTTAGCCATGTGCGGGAGGCTTTGAAGAAACGTAACTACCCCGACCGATTTATCCATCGCGTTAAGAAACAAATGTCCCGTCGGCGCCCGGATCGAGCCGAACGAACACGTGACGTCGTGTGCATCCCGTACGTTAAGGGAGTTTGGGAGGCATTGGGACGCGCCCTTAGGCCGTTGGGTGTACGAACTGTATACAAACCCTACAGAACAATTTCCAATGTTATCTCCAAGCCAAAAAGACCCGACCCCGCCAGAGGCAGAAAGGGGCGTGATCTACCATGTGCAGTGCAAGGAATGTGACGCTTACTGGAGAGACGGGACGAAAAAGAAAAACATGACTATAGAACACGCACGGGATGTCGCCAATTCCACGAACGCCACCCGCTTCAAGTCCGAACTCGTCGACCACACATGGACGTCAGGACATCAATTTGACTTTGACAAGGCATCGACCTCGGCGAGGGATCAAAGGTGGGGACCGAGGAAGCTGCTGGAATCTTGGTTCATCCAGAACGACAAACGCGGAAGTGATTCATCGCTGGCAAACAAGAACCGAGGCCACCTGCCGGAGGTGTACGCAAACTTTATGCCTAAATAGCCGAACTTTTTTGTGCGACTCTCGCTCGCTCTGTGCTCTACTGAAGATGCCTCCCGCATGGGAGGCGAAACGTTTAATTAAATTGTTATTTTTGTTATGTCAAGCCGTTTTTGTTATTAGACTTACCATGTCTTCGCCCGGCTTCTGGAGTACTTTTGCACCAGGACGTAGAAAAGAACAGAGAGGGCGCTGACGTACAACTCAAAATTAATTGCACTGCAAAGAGGAATGTACGCGGAAAAGGGGGGAGCGAACAAAAAAAGCAAATCGATAACATCCGACATTAGGCACACCTAGATACAATCACACCAACCTGTCACACGTTTTAACAAAAAGATCGAGGTACACTTAAGCATTCTTTATTGGTTGTGAATGCGAAAGCATGCAAGCCGCTCGCCTACTCCCTTTTTCCTCTGCTGGACACTTCTCGTCGCCGGTCAGCGTGTGTGCTCCCCCAGGCACGTTGACCTTGGACGCTCCGTGCCCTGGGGTGCAATGGCGCGCTGATGGACACGCAGCGCCGTGGGGTGAGCGGTCGTGGAAACTGACGAGCGCAACGGCCAATGGGAGCCCCGTCGACGCGCGCAAGCCAATGGAACCGAAGGATCGGGGAGACTATGTGCCGTTTTCGCGCTTCAAACTGATGACGTGAGCTCGCTGCATAAGACAGTTCATGCTTTCGCATTAAACATCCACTTCGTCACCTACAAGGGCCACAGGAGGAGCGCTCACACACGAGTATGATCCATGAGTCGCCATAAGATATATGCTTCGCCGGTCTCTCGCAGTCTTGTTTGTGAGTTTAATTGCTTTGTTGTTATCTTACCGCCCGCCCCCCCCCCCCCTCCTTGCTTTCTTTGTGCTTGAGATTGAGATTGAGTGCTTGAGATTGAGTGCTTGTGCTTGATTGAGAGATTGAGATTGAGTGCTTGAGATTGAGTGCTTGTGCTTGAAATTGAGACGTTGCCTCCTCTTTTACTACCTTCTGTTGTGTTCTCTTCCTGCCCCAGTCTCAGGTTTACAATCATGTTCATCTTACACCAGCTCGCCTGCACTCTGACTATTTTTTTGTTTTTGTGCTTGTTTTTGCACAGCAATAGACTTTCCTTTGTAAGTCAGCGCCCTGTTTGTGTGTTTCCCCATCCTGGGGACCTAATCTGGACACTTAGCGGAAAAGTAGGTGAGAAATCCGGCCAATCTAAGCCGTCGGATTTCTCGCCAACTTTTCTGCCAAGTGTCCAGAATAGGGCCCCTGGTCCTACGTTTTTTAGCGCTGTTTCCACCAAACAATTTTTTTAAGAAACTTATAGTAGCATATTAAACTGAGGTTGCTATGAAAGATGTGCTTTCAATTTTCATCTGATCGAGGAGTTTTATCTCAAACTAAATACATAAAATGAGAGTAAATGAATGTGCACACATAGACGGATACGGGATACTGCTTTGCAATATGGTGTAGAGATGACCATCACAAAAGGCATCGTTGAGCTAAAAAGCACACAATGATGCGTACACATCTGCTGTTTGCCTCAAAGAAAGCCTTGCTTTTGAGGAGTCGAATTTTCGAAAGGGCCTATTAGGCCGTGGAGTCTGTCAACTATGTTATTGAGAGCTCAACCTTTGCTTGATTTAATGCAAAACATCTCGGGCTACTGACAAAATTCAAGAACATCGCCATATAAAACGTTTATATTTGAGTTTGGAATTAAACGACTTTAAACCTATAACATCAGGTCTCCCAGAGCACCCGCGGTCGGGTTTGCTTGGAGCTGAAGAAAACATTGAGGCTAATATGCACCTGGCAATGACAATGTTAAACGGCGAAAGCTGATTTTATTACTGAAAAAAAAATCAATTCAACGTTACATTTAGTACAAAAATATATATTGCCACCAATGATAATTAATGAGCGGGGAATTGACAGA